AATTTCCCAGAAGTAGAATTGCTGGATTTATGGTATGACTATGTTAAAGATTCTTGATATAGTTCTACATTTTAAACCTAGATGGGTAGAGTGTAGGTTGATATATTCCTTTTTTCTTCTTTAAAAAAATAAGGCAATTTCATAATATCTGTTAATTTTTAAAGTACATGCCTCATCGTCCAGCAATTCTAATTCCCATGAAACAGGCACAAATGCACAGATTTGTGATCTAGAATGTCAGATGCAGCTTATAAGCAAAATAATGAAAATAGTCTAAATGTTCACCAATGATATTTATCAACTAGGGTACAGTCATTACCTGAATACCATGTGCTATTAAAAAGAATGATGTCATAGATTTATAGGCAATGCTATAAAAGGATATGACTATAATCTATGAAACAATCAGAATAAGAAAGGTGGCTGATATGTTGGTAGAGGAAAAATGTTTTAGCTCAAGGAAATTTGGCAGAAAATAACATGATAGAGCAATGATTATCTGTAAAGGCAGTGTAGTGTAAGATTTGGAATCAATTGGCACTTGCATAGAGAGGTGAATAGAAAAAGAATAGACAAGTTCCAAAGAGTTTTATACCATTTAATTAAGGGATAGCAGTGACAAGAATAAATCATTGAAATAAATGATCCAGGATTGCAGATAAGGTGAAGCATGAAAGCATGTAAAAGTCTAGATTTAAAAAAGTGAAACACCATGGGAAACCAAACACAGAAGCACTACATTCTGTGTGTGTGTGTGTGTGCACGTGTGTATGTGTTGTATATACACACAGACACATGTATAAACCTGTGTTTTTATATGAGCAAATTTTGATAAGAAAAAATGTAAACGTTTAAATATATAATGTATTAATATATTTTATATTATACCTGCAATGAAAGAAATATGTATTAGATATCAAAATACTTGAAAGTATGTATTAGATATTATGTATGTATTAGATAGCAAAATACTTGAAAGTTTAAAGTCCTATACATGTGATTCTTCCCCATTCCTGACTTTTCTCCACTGTCACTTCAAATTCAACAAGGTGATGTGTCCTGGAGGCACATGGACAAAAGGCAGATGTTTTTTTAAAACATGATAGTGAATGAGAAACCAAGAGCCCCACATTTCAGTATAGGGCATGTGTTCCTGATGTCCTTGGAGGATATGGTAATATCTGGAGCAAAGTGATAACATGTAAATTGGGTGATCCCTTTTGAATTAATTAATAGATAGCATCTTCTGGAAGACTTATTAAATCACAAGGTTTGAAACAGTACAATTAGGTCAAACTAGGTAGTTTTAGAGCTGTCACTGAAAAGCAAACATAGACAATGTTAATATCAATCTTATAGACCTAGTGATATTTACCCCTCTCTCTCACATCCTTTTACTTGGAGGAGTTTGTATTTCCAATCCGTGTTGGCAGGGAAAGATGATAAATTTACTATCCAAATGTAGGACTGCTTGATGGAGAACAACTGAATCTTTTTTTTTTTAGTTGGAGTCTCACTCTGTCGCCCAGACTGGAGTGCAGTGGCCGCTCCCGGCCACCGCAGCCTCAACCTGCTGGGTTCTGGCGATCCTTCCGCCTCAGCCTTCCAAGTAGCTGGAACTACAGGCACGCGCTACCACGCCCAGCTAATTTTTGACTTATTCTAGAGATGCGGTCTCGCCAAGTTGCCCAGGCAGGTCTTGAACCCGCGGGCTCAGGCAATCCACTCACCTCGGCCTCCCAAGAATTAATCTTTTTTTTTTTAGTTGGAGTCTCACTCTGTCGCCCAGACTGGAGTGCAGTGGCCGCTCCCGGCCACCGCAGCCTCAACCTGCTGGGTTCTGGCGATCCTTCCGCCTCAGCCTTCCAAGTAGCTGGAACTACAGGCACGCGCTACCACGCCCAGCTAATTTTTGACTTATTCTAGAGATGCGGTCTCGCCAAGTTGCCCAGGCAGGTCTTGAACCCGCGGGCTCAGGCAATCCACTCACCTCGGCCTCCCAAGAATTAATCTTTTTTTTTTTAGTTGGAGTCTCACTCTGTCGCCCAGACTGGAGTGCAGTGGCCGCTCCCGGCCACCGCAGCCTCAACCTGCTGGGTTCTGGCGATCCTTCCGCCTCAGCCTTCCAAGTAGCTGGAACTACAGGCACGCGCTACCACGCCCAGCTAATTTTTGACTTATTCTAGAGATGCGGTCTCGCCAAGTTGCCCAGGCAGGTCTTGAACCCGCGGGCTCAGGCAATCCACTCACCTCGGCCTCCCAAGAATTAATCTTTTTTTTTTTAGTTGGAGTCTCACTCTGTCGCCCAGACTGGAGTGCAGTGGCCGCTCCCGGCCACCGCAGCCTCAACCTGCTGGGTTCTGGCGATCCTTCCGCCTCAGCCTTCCAAGTAGCTGGAACTACAGGCACGCGCTACCACGCCCAGCTAATTTTTGACTTATTCTAGAGATGCGGTCTCGCCAAGTTGCCCAGGCAGGTCTTGAACCCGCGGGCTCAGGCAATCCACTCACCTCGGCCTCCCAAGAATTAATCTTTTTTTTTTTAGTTGGAGTCTCACTCTGTCGCCCAGACTGGAGTGCAGTGGCCGCTCCCGGCCACCGCAGCCTCAACCTGCTGGGTTCTGGCGATCCTTCCGCCTCAGCCTTCCAAGTAGCTGGAACTACAGGCACGCGCTACCACGCCCAGCTAATTTTTGACTTATTCTAGAGATGCGGTCTCGCCAAGTTGCCCAGGCAGGTCTTGAACCCGCGGGCTCAGGCAATCCACTCACCTCGGCCTCCCAAGGCTGAGCCACCGAGCCCGGCAATTGAATCTTATAGTGAGGATGTTCACCACCTTTCCCACCATTAGAATCCAAACAAATAGATGTGATGTCCCATTGTACTTTGTGTACTCATTTTCAGTTTTTCTCTATTTTAAATAGGAATAATGGTGAAAAAGTCTTATTAAATAATGGATCGAAGATGACTGCTTGGGTTTCAGACCATTATCTTCATTAATACCAGTTTATTGATACTTGTAAAAACTTGTGTTGGAGACTATCTAGAGATTTTATTACTATTATTTATATAGTATTAATAATATACTGTTATTTTTATTAATATTTGTATGTTTCATTTATATGTAATTATTTCTCAATTGTACTTAACATACACAAACTCACTCAGATACACACACACACACTCATGCACACAATTGTTTTCATAGCTACATAGGTACCACTATGATAAAAAAACTATACTTGAAGGAATGATCCTGTCTCAAAAAATTGAGACTTTTTCTGAAATGATGGATTGATATGGATGGCAAATGAATGGAAAAATTATGTAAAAATAACTAGCTCATATAAAGAACAAACCCATGACTTTGGTCTCATTTCCACTGTAATCTACAACTAAGTTGTAAATATCCAGTAAACTAGAATAAATCAGAATGTAATTTCAATTGTCAGTCTCTAGACAGTTTCAGCACTTAAACATGATGACTGTTCAGCAAAAGCCAAGTCAAAAGAATGAGAACACCATGACATCAACAGAATAAGGAATAAACTTAACAGTTAACAACAAATTGTATCATTTGCTTCATCAACAACTGATCGAGGATAAACTTTGTCTTTTTTCTTCTGTAAAGTGATATTATTTTTCTCTCTTCTTAGGACTGAAGATAAAAGAATGCATGTAAAATATCTGTTGGTGTTCTGTTGGATAAGCCAAAGTGGAGTAATATTAGCTTTTCACAAATCACCAAATAGCATTGTTACAGTGATCAGGGAGAGAATGGCTGAGATCTACCCCTTAAAGTCTGTTTATGCATAGGGCTATATTTGTTTTATCCTTTAAAGGCATTTGCCTAGGTTTATATGTGTTTTCACTCCTTTTCTACTAGAAGATGACTTTTCTAAAACCGTACAGCAGGTAAGGGTATCTCTGATCAGTCATACATCTTATCAAAGCTACCGGAGAATGGATATTAAAAACACTGATATACATGGAGTAGCTGCAGGATCATCCTCCTGTGTGGTAATTCAAGGACTGCGTTGATGAGTCTGGGAGGTTTCTTCTTAGTGTGTCTCATGAGAGTGCATTTGCCAACTGCAAACAGGTATCGATGCATGGTAGTTTTAAAGTGAAAGGCGAGAAGAAAAAGTACACTGCTAAGTGACTTTAAAAACACATGTACTGTAATTTGATACTTGAAGTAAACTTAATTCTCAATAGGAATCATTCATTTACTTGGTTGAACTCTATGAAATTGCTGATATTCAATGGTCTTTTTTTTTTTTTAAATTTGGAGTCTCACTCTGTCACCCAGGCTGGAGTACATTGGCACACTCATGGCCACTACAGCCTTTGCCTGTGGAGGCTCAGGCAATCCTTCCACCTCAACCTTCCAAGTAGCTGGAACTACAGGCGCGTGCTACCACACCTGGCTTATTTTTTTTATTTATTGTAGAGGTGAGGTCTCACCAAATTGCCCAGGCTGGTCTCAAACTCCTGAGCTCAGGCAGTCCTCTCACCTCGGCCTTCCAAAGTGCTGAGATTATAGACTTGAGCCACCACACCCGGCCTTCAATTGTCTTTAACCTACAAAAATGATAGTTTCTTATGATGCATCTTCATAGCTGAATTAGATGTCTCAATGCACCTACTTCTGGGAGAACTAAAAACGTAAAGACGTTTTCATGTAACTGAAAACCATCATTTGACCATTTATGTAAATGCTTGAAATTTCTGGCATGGCAGAGTCTATAGTCAGTGTTAAATGAATCTACACTAAATGTATCTTTCATTCTCTCCTTGAAGGTATAGATTGTAATTCAATGTGATGATCCCTCATCTCTCTAAGCAAGCCATTGCCCGAATGACCATAGTTATCTGTCCTGTTGTGAGCAGAAATCAGATAAAAGAGATTTGTGCTCTGTCTGACCATCCTCTGCAGTTGGGGTTAGTGTCAGCTGTGAGTTGAGCAGTTGGGAGAATTTCTGTTTTTGCTGGTTGCAGGGAGATTCTGGAGGACCGCTGCAGTGTACCTGGGATGGGAACTATAAGCTTATTGGCATTCTGAGATGGGACAACAGTAACTGTCCTCCCACGGCACCAACTATCTTCACAAGAGTTTCTGCCTACGGATATTGGATCACATCTGTTACTGAAGGAGAAGTGTAATCACTCAAAGATCATCATGGTGTAGTTGTGTTTATAAATCAGAAAATAAATATATAATAGTATATCTGAAATTTGAGTCTTATCAGTGTTAAATTGCCAATGTCACTTCTGCCCACCCTTGTTATTGAGGAGGTTGAATTTGGTGTGTATAGATGATCCGTATTAAACATTGGTCACAGAAAGGTAATGTTGGTTCAGGTTTCTGGGGACTTACAATCTGAATTGACATTTATTTTATATCTTGCATACCATGTATATGCCATATATTTTGAAAACTATCATATACACTTTAACTATTTTTTTCTACATTGGCAGACAATGGAAGATAGAAAGGGTAATATTATTCAGTCCATAAAATTCTTTTTTTTTGTTTTTTTGAGTTGGAGTCTCACTCTGTCACCCAGACTGGAGTGCAGTGGCCACTCCCAGCCACTGCAACTTCCACCTGCTGGGCTCTGGTGATCCTTCTGCCTCAGCCTTCCAAGTAGCTGGAACTATAGGCACGCGCTACCATGCCCAGATAATTTTTTGATTTATTGTAGAGATGAGGTCTCGCCAAGTTGCCCAGGCGGGTCTCGAGCCCGTAGGCTCAGGCAATCCATTTACCTCAGCCTCCCAAAGGCGTGGGATTACAGACTGAGCCACCGAGCTCGGCTAAAATTCTTAATTTTACCTACAGACTCACAGAGAACAGGTCAAAAACTATCTCAGTTAAATGAGAAAGGTCTCTGCCAGTTTTACAATTTCATTGAGCAATGGGCATTTAAGAGATTATCAGGTGCATCAATTGATCTAGAAATTTTTAGATAAAATCTTAGGATATTTCAATTTTTTTAAATAAAGGATTTAATTTATCTAAGACTCAGTTTGCCAATTCTCTCATTTCTCTAAGCTATAGATAAGAATCAGGAGGAACTAAGGAAGGCCCTGAGCCAAAGTCCTTTCCAGAAATATAGACTATAGAGTGAGTAAGGGCCCGAGGCAACTTTTTCTTATTTTATACATTTCACCAAAATGTATCATTTTATTTCCAAGAATACAGTATTCCAAGAGGACATATGATTCAGTTTTACATAGTACCTATATAATCAAATGAGACAGCAATTAATCAGGAAGTAGGCAGAAAAATGAAAAATTACATATAAGTACACAATTTCAAAAACAATAGTTCAAGCTTTTCCTATATAACAACATAATTAGATTACAAAAGTTTGTATTATGAAATTGCCATTTCTGTAGAACAGAAATAATTGAAAATTAACCATTTTATATGATTCAGCCTAATAACCCTAATTATAATAATGCATCAAGATGTTAAGTTCAGTTCATACTCATTATGAAAATTTCGCCCTTCAAAATTAAAGTCAGAAAGCTTATACACATAAATTAGGAACTCTTAGCTTTCTAACAAATGTGTGTCTGTCTTTATTTAAGCCTGGAGGTAACTGAGCCTTCACTGACATTAGTTAAAAATCTTTTTTCTAATGAATCTTCACTTGAAAATACAAGCACATGTTTCTGTAATGGTATTAGGAAACGTTTTTCTTCTCTCACTCTCAATCTTTCTCTTTTAACCTCTCTCCACCTCTTTTCCTTTCTATCAACCTGTTTACCCCTCTTCCCCTCCTGTCTCTCTTCCCTTTCCCTAACTCCTTCTCTCAAACTCTTTCAATCTTTCAACCACTCTCTCCCTCTTTACCTCCTAATCCCTTTCTTTCTCAAGTCCTTCCCTTTTTTTCAATCAACCTTCCTCTCCCTCCTCCCTTTCTCCATCTCCCCATTCCCTTATACTCTCTCTTTCAAACTCTCTCCTTGTTTACTTCACCTCTCCCAATGTCTCTGGCTTTCTCAATACCTCCATCTTTTCTCTCCCTGCCCCATTTCTCTCAATTCCCTGCCTAACCTCTCTTTTTCTCTTTCAACCTTTCCTCTTTTCTACAAATGCTACAAAAGGGAAGGGAAGTGATATAAATGTGCTCGGATTTACTAAAAAACCCTTACATGAATGTTGGTGTAAAAGTTCTGCTGTCATTGATTCAAATTACACTTTTTTGATAGAGCTTCTGAGGAAAATGAAAGAAGAGATTTGCAATAGGAATGCTCTAAGTCTCATACTAATCTGTTTTGTACCATTTTGACTTTGTCTCATGAATCTCATCTTTTTATCAGATGACATTAAAGGGGATTAAAGTGTCAGGCCTGTCTAAAGTTTTTATGGTTTTTTTCTCTCACTGATCTGCTGGCAGTTAATTTTGGTGCTGGCACAACCTCTATTGTGACCTCCTGAGGTGGTGAGCTGGGGGTTGTAGGGCCCAAAGGCTTGGTCCTCTGAGGGTTCGCTGAAAAATCAATTTGCAAAAGGAAGATTAATTGGAGAAAAGGCATACAAATTTACTTACATGTATACTCAGGAGGTTTCAGAATGAAGAAGCAAAGATATATGGGAAATTGCCTATTTTTATGCTTAGGTTCAACAAAGTATAGAGAACTATCTAGAAATATAATTGGACAAAAAGGGAAAGAACTAGGAAACTCAGTGGGGAAACCCAGAAAAGTCTATCTAGATTCTTCTTGCCTCTCTGAGCATGCATCCTTTCCTTCTGAGTATGGGATAGGGGTCTTATGACCTACAATAAAACAGAGTAGGTCAGATAATTTCTTATGACCAGTTTTTACAATGAAAGTCAGAAGGAAAAATTGAGTCATATTTTTAGATTTTATTGCTTTGGGGAAAAGGAGTTCTGGTTTCTTTGACCCACCTTGGGGAAGAGGGGTTCTAGGTTCTACCTCTAGCATAAGGGGAGAGGGGGACTGAGGCACCAGAAGACAGGAGAAGGTCAAAGAAAAATGTTAGCTTCTAAGGCCTTCATGTAGGGTTATTGACCTTGATGCTCTCAAGGTCCTTCAGCAAAAAAGTGCAGGGTTATATTTCCTGTGTGATCTAGAGAAGTTGTCTGATATTGCCTTAAAGGGTTAGAGACTATTTGGTGTTCTGTTTTTGGCTACAGTTTGGCTGTAGTTTTAGAATTTCTTCCATGTTCAATCTTTAATAGAATCTACTATTTTAGAGTTCTTACCCTTCTAGTTGAAAGCCAATTTAACCAAGGAAGTGGCATAATCTTTACTTCCTAATTTGATCTTTCCAAAGACCACTACTTTTTGCATTTCAACCTCTATATGTATTAGGTTGCAGTTAATTGTGTAAATTGATCTATTATGCAAGGGTCACACAGTCAAATTTAAAGAATTCAGAGAACTGATAACCCAGTTTTCATTCATGTACATATTTTTAAAATCCTACTTGAACATCTACTGTGTGCCAAATAGAGGTACCTAGAAAGAGGAAGTTTCTCTCATCTTTAGAATCTCATTCTAGTAGAGAAAAACAATATACAAAGCTAATTACTATTTAACATGCTATGGAAGCAAGAAAGTTAGGAGGGAACAACCAATATTTTCTGCAGGAATAGATTAAAGTTTTGTGGAAGGAATATTTGAGCTGAGTTTTAAAGTTCAAATAAAAGTTGACTTGGTTTTAGTTTAATATTTTTATATGTTTTATACACCAGTCTGTTATGTTAAAGAAATCTGTAGCAAGTTATTTCCCTATCAACAACTCCACATATTCTGAATTTCTCCTGTCACTTGGATTATTGAAAAATAGTTTTGTTTATTCTTGTCAAATTGCTTTACTTCGTTTCCTCTACCCCTTCACATTTTCTTTCTTATAAAAGTTTTAATGATGCAATTCAAAAATTTAATGTTCTTTTCCTTGTCAATTTAACAAATGTCAACAACTTAAGTCTAATACGTATATAATTCTCACTGAAGATGAACAGCTTTTGGCACATCTCCCGTTTTCATTTTTGTCTCAACTTTTGTTTTTCTATTTCTCACAGGTAATTTTAAATTTAAATTTTGTTTTTCTATTTCTCACAGGTAATTTTAAATTAAATTTTAACTAAATTGTCAAATAGTGGCAACAAAAACAAATGCTGGGCCCAAAGTAACTGAGAAACTCTTAAAGAAATAGAAGAAAGTAGAAGAATTATATTAAAAGAAAGTAAGCCTATAGTAATTAGGACAGGGTAGTAACGCTGTAGAGAAAAATAAACTGACTAATAGAACAGTATATAGAAGCAATTATAATGTCATTTAAAATCTTTAAGTTGGCAAAAAAAAGTGAAAATATCAATAGATAATGAGAATATGGGGTGAAGGGATCTCTCCTCACTGCCGATAGAAATGTACTCCAGCTTTGGAAAACTCAGACAATATCATTAAAATTGAAGATGCCCATGTCTTGAGTTAGCAATTTTATCCCTAGGTATATACAAGTACCCTACAGCAATATCTTCGAACATGGCTGCAGTTAAATGTAAATATCTTAGGCATAAGGAATAACCATTTTTTAAAAAAGCTCCTTATGTGATTCTAATGTGCAGCCAGGTTTGAGACATGCATCCTGGAGAAAAGCAATGTAACCATGTAAAGGAGTGTTTATAGAAACGATATCTGCAAAAACCTTGAATTCCAAGTGCCTGTTACAGAGCATGGATGAACAACATGTATAATACTTGCACAGCAGTAAAATAAAATAATCCACAGGTGCTTTTGGTGAATGTTAGAAATGATGCTTAGTTTAAAAAACAAGTTTAGTGGCCAGGTGCAGTGGATCACACCTGTAATCTCAGTAATTTGGAAGGTCCAGGTGGGAGAATTGCTTGAGCCCAGGAATCTGAGACCAGCCTGGACAACACAGTGAGACCTCGTCTCTACAAAAAAATTAAAAAATTAGCTGGGTGTGGTGGCACACACCTACAGTCTCAGCTACTCGGGAGGCTGGAAGGTGGAAGGATCTTCTGAGGTCAGAAGGTTGAGGCCGTGGTGAGCCGTGATTATACCACTGCACTGCAGTCAGGGTGGCAAACTGAGACCCCAGTTCAAAAACAACAACAACAACAACAACAACAACAAAAAAGCAAGTTTAGAGAAGCTCA